AATATTGTTGGAAAAAATAAATTTAAAAAATCACCATTTTATTAAAAATAAGAGACTAGATGCCAGAACGGAGAATGAAAGTGTTAAGTAAATCATGCTCAGTGGGGAGTTATCTGTGGAGTAGGTTAAGGATATATTTGGCATGGGAGAGGTGTGGAAGAACAAAAAGGAATGAGGCATGGGACATCTATTTAAAACAAATCTGCCAGTACGATTTATCTTCAGATATAATATACAGCTCTTACTTTTATAAAAATGGATATTGCATTTAAAAACACGAGGAAGTAGTTTAATGGGAAGGAGGAAAAGAGAAAGGGGAAAAAGGGAGAGAACTGTCTGCTAAGTTGCTTCATTGTGCAAATTATAAATGTAACCTTGTAAGATAAATGAACCAAAACTAGCTGAATGTTATGCAAATGGGTGTTTATTGCTTGGAATAAAAATTGCAGTGACAGCGTCTTATAGTTGTAAAAGAATCTCACATAACTTAGGCAAAAATCAAGATGCTTGTTAGATGATTTCATGTATCACTATTGACAACCCAGACATTGGAGTGTAAGATGCATATCTAGAAACTAATAGTAACAGATAACACTTATTTGGCCCATATTCAATTGTCCTATTTTTTTTTTTGAGAATTTCCTGTTTTGTTATTGTTAAAATGGACGTAAAATTGACATATGAAATTATGCTTGTTTCAGGTGTCTTACATAATGACATAAATACTTATTTTCTGTAGGTTAAATCCTCACCCATCCCTAGAAGTAGCAGCTAATATTATCATTTTATGGGAAAAGAAACTTATCCAAGGTCAGAAGAATTAAGTAACAGACCCAGGATTCAAGCCAAGGCTGTCTGACTTGATATTCATACCAAGTGGAACAATGTAATAATTCTGATGTAATTAACTATTCTGTAAAATATATTATAATGTATATGATTAAATAAATTAATGCATGAAATATTAGAAATATTCATTTCATCTCTATTATTAGATACATATATATTCAAGTATATAAAAGCAAGTTAAAAGCATTTATTTGGTAGAGGGTAGGAAACCTTATTATTGGAAAACAGATCATTTTTATTCATCTTTGCTATATTTTATGGCATATTTGTTAATTTAGAAAGCTTTTCCTGACCAATGGACTAGGATATATTTTTCCTATTATATGCTTTCATAGCAGCCCATATTTTTACTGTATGACAACATACTATAATTCAAATTTTAAATTACATTGTGTACATATCTGCATAATTTTCAAAACTATAAGTTGCACAATGGCAGGTAGTTTACCTTGTTCTTGCCACTCTGTCCTTAGTATCCATCACAGTGAGTGTCACATGGTATATATTGAACATTTGCTTGTAAATGAATGAATAAATACCCATTATGTGAGTGCAGTGATATTTTAGCCAATTCTCTGTGGAATTTAATTAATCTCTTTTATCTTTTTGCTATTTTCTATTTTGCTATTTAAATGCCTAAATGAATATACTTATACGTGTTACTTTTACATTTATCTGATTATTTCCTTACGATCACTATCTATGTGAAAAGTCATTGGATCAAATGCTATGCACACTGACAACACTACCCTTTATATTTTACGTAAAGTTATACTCCTATCTATAGTGCATCTGTTAAGGCAATGTTAGCTGTTTATACTGAAAAACACAAATCCCAAATCCCACTGTTTTAACAAAAAGAAAACTTACCTCTTACTCATGTAAATTTCATTTAATGCTGGATTTCACAATGGGAATTTATACAGTTTTTGAGACCCAGGTTAAAGTATTTTTCCAACATATATATATATATATATATATATATATATATATATATAATCACTACTTTCATATGTCATTATCTAGAACTTGGTCACATGACAATACCTATGTGCAAAGAGAGAAACACAACTGTTTACACTAGAGGAATCACTTGCAGAGAAAATCTAGTTGCTGACTGTCATTCTATGAGTAGGCCCATTCTATGCCTTATGAAAACAGAGTTGAAACAAGTTTTTTTAACCCTTTCGATGTTTTACTTTATGATTACAAAAACTTCAAATGTTACCTCAGTAAATCAAAATAAGTAGTCTCTGAAGAGAAACATAATTTTATTTGTAACTTGTTCCTTTTTAAAAATCTACTTTTATGATTACATGTTAATGTCTTTGTTTCCATATTTCTATTGGACACTCTTTATTCACAGCCTCTTCATATGTGGCTCATGTGTCTCTTTGCATCCAAACTTAAATTGGTATGATTCTACAGTCTGTTTCTTTAACACCATCATGACCTAGTAGAAACTGGAAATTTATATTCAATTTCTATAACCTGGAGTGTTATTGACTGAGACCAAATATAAGTAGACTGAAACAAATATAAAGCAGTAGAGCTTGACTAGCGGTAGGTGATAGACTCAACTGCAAACCTGAGACTTTGCAGTACCAAGAGTGAATTCAAAAAAATACACAACAGTCAGAAAGTTCAAAGATAATGCAAAATCAAGTATGAAAACAAATGAAGAGGTTAAGACCAAGAAAAATAATGGAAAAAGGCATGAGTTCAGAAGAGAAATGAACAGGTTCCTGGGCTATCATAACAAATGGGGCTGACTGACTTTGGTGTGTTTTTATTGGCAGAATAGCATATTTAATTTATGAATTTAATTACACACATATTTTTAAATTATGTATTATATAAAATAATAGCATAATTTAAATATATTGCTTTTTCCATGCTTACATTTCATAAAATAATTTTATTAGAACTCTTACATGCATTTTTGACCTAGTGTCTTTATAATTAGTAGAACCAACTTTTTCTCTTTTCCTAATTTTTCTTTAATAAACACATTTTTCAATACTCCAAGCACCCCTCCCTCAACATTTTGATATAAACTCTACTCAGTTAGAAGTCTTATATACTATTTCTACTATTTTATGGGTTCCCTGTAAACTGATGCATTTAAAATGTTAACCTGTCTTTCCCTCCTTTGCTTATCCACTAAGTTTATATATGGATACATATAAGAGAAAATTCAAAATAGCAACCATCTAAACAATGTAAGAGTTTATCTATCACATAGAATAGTTTCAGAAATAGTTTAGTGCTGATGTGGCAGATCCGTGGTCATTGGGTACTCAGAACATTTTATCTTACTGTTCCATTTTCCCTTTAAAATCAGTTTGTTATTCCGTATGGCTATTGGAATTTGCAGTATCATACCCATATTTCATGAATAAGCAGGAGAAGATGAAGGGAAAAGTGACTTTCTACCAAACTGAATCCTATCTCCTTAAGAAATCTTCTTTAACATCTCACATATACCATATACTTTTCATTGACAAGCTATTGATTTGTAAGTATTCCTAGACTCCAGAGGCAGGTGGGAAATATGAAACAGTCAGACTGCCGAAAGCAACATATATTTTTTACCTAATAAGAAAGGAAAAATAAATATGATATAGACAACTATTAGTCTTTGTAGCCATATCCTCAGATGAGAAATTCAAGATGTACATCATTGAGAATCAACATTTGTATGTATCATGTTAAGTTCACTACTAAATATCTAGCTATGTGGGCCTCCTTGGTGGTGCAGGGGTAAGGTCTCAGTACTATCAAGCTATCCCAGCCATTGTAGCATGAGGTTGATGCCTGGCCAGAGAGATAACCCCATATGGCACAGCAGGCCTCTCCTATCTTGCCCGCTGCTCCCCTCAGAAGTGTATCTCAGTAGATGTGCCTGTTCTGCTCCCTTCTCTGTCTCTGGTGAATCCCCTCACCACTACCCTCTTGCATACCTCTGGCCTACACCCCAGTTCTTGAATGCAAAAATAAATAAAAATAAATCTTTAAATGTCTA